GACAAAATAATAACAGTCTACCCGTGGTGGTACGACAAAACAATAACAGTCTACCCGTGGTGGTACGACAAAATAATAACAGTCTACCCGTGGAAGTACGACAAAATAATAACAGTCTACCAATTGTGGTAGAGCCCATTGAGACAAAAACTATTGATCTGCCCATTGTGGTAGAGCCCATTGAGGCAAAAACTATCAATCTGCCCATTGTGGTAGAGCCCATTGAGGCACAAAATATTGATCTGCCCATTGTGGCCGAGCCCATTGAGGCACAAAACAAAAGCAAACTTCCCATTGTGGTAGAGCCCACAGAGGCAAAAAGTATCACTGATCTGCCCATTGTGGCAAAAAGTAACACTGATCTATCCATTGGGGTAGAGCACAATTCTGTGGTGCCTAATGAGGCAAACAATGAAAACCAAATTTGGTTTATAAATTATGGAAAAGAGCTTCAAGGTCTTGTTATAACCAACCGAGAAATTGGGTCACACTACTATGACATTCACACAGCACTTTTGAATGTGTTTTGAAATTATAGTTATACTATTTTGATATTAGAAGGCTATATGATGGCATTGATAAAGCAAACAGATTTTTTCTATTTGTTTGACTCTCATGCCAGAGACTCTAATGGCATGCCTGATCCTAATGGCACTGCTGTTGTCATAAAATTTGCTAATATTCTAGAATTAGAACAATATTTGTATTCTCTTTCAATGACATTACATGCCAATTTATTTGAAATTGTACCTGTGCAATTGAATATATGTAAAGCTTCTGAGCAAAAAAAGTAAGTGTGTACAGGATCAAGAGAGTGTCCAAAAAAAGAGGCTTTTAGTAGAAAATGAAGGTAATAAACAAGCTAGACTTAAGAAAGCTAGTGAGTACAATAAAAGAAAGCAGTCAAAGGAAACTGACAAAGAGAGGCAAATCAGACTTCAAAAAGCTAGTGAGTATAAAAAAAGAAAGCAGTCAGAGGAAACTAATAGACTTCAAAAATTAAGTGAGTCAATTAAACTGAAACGCTCAGAGGAAACTTACAACAATTAAGCAACAAATTAGACTTCAAAAGGATCGTGAGTCTAAAAAAAGAAAGCGGTCAGAGGAAACTGACCCCAACAAACAAATTAGACTTAAAAAAGATAGCGAGTTTAAAAAAAGAAAGCGGTCAGAGGAAACTGACACCAACAGACAAATGAGGCTTGAGAAAGATAGACTTAATAAAAAACAAAAGCGGTCAAAAAAAGTGTCACAGCCTGAACATGAAATATTAAATCAACAGGATTATTTAAATATGTTTGACACCATTAATGGTGGTATTGAAGAGCAATATTGGGCTAAGGCTAACATTAATAAGTTTAATAAGTCTGTGCAATACATTGTCAGTCAGTGCACAGTATGTCAGGAGGCATGGCCCTTGAAATCTAAACCAAGGACACCTTACATGTGTTCACGGTGCTTTAGAGATAAAAAATCTCCTAAAAAGTTCTCTTGTGAAAATTCAATGATACCTTCATCTGTTCCAAATGAATTGCAGAATTTAACTCAGATTGAGGAAATGTTAATTGCTCGTGCTTTGCCTATTATGAGAGTTTATATTAAACCTGGCGGCCAACGAGGTTATTCAGGGCATTGTATTAAATTGGCCCAAAATGTCACAGAACTTGCAACATCTTTGCCAAGGTATCCCAAAGACTTAACTGTGATTATTGTCAAAGTAAAAGGTAAAGATAACACATTCAGAGATGTGACAGTGCGAAAGCAAAAAGTGCACAATGCCTTAGTTTGGCTTATCAATAATAACCCACATTATTCTGAGTTAACAATTAATGAAGAAACATTAAATTCATTACCTGAAAATGGTGTACCACCAGGTCTTATGACTGTTGAGACTGATGATGATATAGTCTCAGATGACGATTGTTCTCCTGATGTAGGTCCTACTGATAATCCATCAGAAGATATTGTTTATAATGACTCTCCTGAAATGAGTAGTTTTTTACCTTTTGGCGAACAACAACAACAGGAAATTGAAGCTGTTAGAAGTCAGCTTTCTGAAAATGAGCCAATGCCATGGCCCTCGGTTGAAAATGAGCCATTAAATGAGTATCAGGTATCGCATCTGGCTACAATGGCTTTCCCAACTTTATTTCCAGATGGGAAAGGTGATCCTACAAATCAAGGACTTCTGAGAGATGTCTCTCTTCAG